TCAAGACTTTTGTTAAGTGCCTATATCTCAATAATACTGAGAATTGTATCTAACACTATTCATAAACACTGTTAATAGCTCAACCATTAAACCTTATCATTTTTTAAAATGATTTCCTCTTCTTTGTTTGCATTATCCTATTGATTAAAATTTTACCAGTGTACCAAAAAATGCATCAAAACCTGTATCAGGATGCTGTAGGGTAAAGGATGTGAAAAGGTAAAAAGAGAGATGTCTGTACTATGCTTCCCCCATTCCTGGAATTTAAAATTAAGTATTACTGCTTTTTGCCCTGTTTGCACATTTTCTGAATGTCTGTTACTATTTCAGCTTCTTTTCCACTTATTAACATTGGCATTGTCTGTTGACATAATCTTAGTTTAAAAAAATAAAAATGAATAGCAATTGAGTTTTTGCATTCTCTTCTCGCCTTCAACAAGACATTCCTTAAATCTTTGTCACTTCCAGCCATCAAAGGAGTATCAGCATATTAGAGATTTGATGTTTGTCCCAACAATTTTAATTCTGATTTCTATTTCCTCCTGTGTTTCTAATGATATGTTCTGCATATACCTTAATTAAATAAGGTGGCAGTATATGATATTGGCCTGCTTCTTTCCCAAAGAGTATTTTGAACCATATATATCTCTGTATTCCATTTAACTGTTGCTTCATAGATACCTTCAATAGGCAAATGAGAGGGCTTTCTGCCAAGAAAAGCCCACAACCATTCATAAGCAGATGTGATAACCAATATAATAAGAATAATTGCTGAAAATTATTTCATGAGTTGTGGGAGTAGTAGTTGAAGGAAATGATTTTTTTTAAGGAAGGGCAGAATAATTAGTGAGAAAATGAAGTAATGTTAGCAAACTCATTTCTTCTTGGCAATGAATCATAAAGGAAAATGTTAAAATTAAAACGTTTGGTCTTTTCTGAAGCTTGAAGATTGTGACTGAGTTGTACAATCTGCTGAACCACAGAGCAGTTGAATATATTATACCCCAGATGTGCAAATCCAAGCTTGTTGGTTAATTTTTGACTTAGTGTTGGGCAAATGCAGAAAATGGTATTCATTGCATATATCATGAATCATTAACTATAAGAGTACCATGCAACCAGCCTGTTGAAAGAGGAGACTGGGTTGAGCAAGTTGTCAAGAACTTTATTTTAATTATCAGTCACAAGCAAACAGCCCCTTCCAACTGACTTTGTCCTTTTATAAATAATACAGTGTGTCTTAGCTAAACAGAAAAATGGGTTGCATAAACCATAGTTAATTATAGTTAAAAGTTTTGTGCTAACATACCTGGTATGAAGTAAGCAATCTGAGAATGTTGCTGTCAAAGTGGGAAGCTACTTTTTAACCAGGCTTACAGAGCATTAAAATTGCTGTTAACAACATGACTGCTCCACAAAAATCTGCTTTACTTTGTCATTATTTTATGTTTCCCAATATGCTTTTAACAAAAAGCTATTTACCAAAGAATAAAACATTTCAGCCTATGTTTAAACTCCAAAAACTTTGGTAAGTTTTTATTTGAAATACATGAGGAGAAATAAAATACAACAAAAAAATCTTTCAAGGAGACTCACTATCGCCACTACTGTTTGTCATTGCATTGATTCCTCTGTCAACAAT